ATCAGGCGAGTGCTGAAAACTCTCCCAGGGTTGGGGAGTCGGTGGCTTAGTGGTAGAGCAGGCGCCCCATGTACAAGGCTGTTGCCGCAGCAGCCCGGGTTCGACTCCAGCCTGTGGCCCTTTGCTGCATGTCACTCCCTCTCTCTCTCCCCCTTTCACACTTGTCTGTCCTATCAAATAAAGTTATAAATGCCCCAAAAAAATCTTTTTTTTTTTTTAAAAAAAAATTTAAAAAAAAAAAAAAAACTGTCCCAGGGTAGAGTTTGCACTCCTACAGCAACAGCTACTACCTATGCAGTCTGTGACGACAGGGTGAGCAGTTCAGAGTGCCAATTCGCCACCAAAAGCTATACTTGGGGGTGGACTGGCTATCTGGCATACCAGGCAGTTTCCCAGTTGGCCGATGTGCCGCCCAAACACAGCACTGATTTTTTTTTTTTTTTTTTTTTCAAACAGGCCTTTACAAGAAACAAAGTTCAATTCAATGGGGTCTTAAACGACTTCTTTAAACAATGAAACTAAGACTCGACCAAAAACCCTGTGGCTGAAGACTGAAACCCTGTGGTGTTTTCCACACTCCACATGCTGTGCAGCACACCTGCCTTCAATTAGAGGTTAATTCCAGGTCAGGTGATGCATTAAAGTGACTCACAAAGAAAAAGGAAATAGTAAGGGCTTGCAAGAAATGCCTCCAACACACACACACACACACACACAGAAAAATATATGACATTTCCACAATAAATAGATGCAGAAAAGGCACCAGAATGCAAGCAATTAAGTGCTTGACGCTCAAAAAAGAGCCCCAGGACGCCTCTCTAATATGTGTCCCCTCAAATGTTGAAAGAAACACCTTTGTATCATATTATATACATATATGACTTACATTTGCGTGATTGATTGTGGTGGGCCAAAATACCTGGGCCAACTTTTTGTCCCAGTCCATCCCTGTCTATACTACACACCTCTGTATTCACATTATAGGTATCGAATGAAGTACTCTGCTGGGATCGGTGTCACTTTAAGGTATCATAATTTCTAGCAGTTTGTCAGAACAAAATAAAACTTCTCTGCTACTTCCATGTTTTTATTGGCAGAGACAAATGCATGTGTTCAAAATATCAAGGGGATGTGTCCCCTGCTCCCCTCCCAAAATCTACGCCTTTGGTTGGAAGTTACAACCAAGCAACCGCACTGGGCACATGGAGGGTTACAGAAACACACTGTAATGTAATTCAGAGCTTATGAAAAGTTCTCTGCTGGTTGCCAGGCAACTGGTCCTGACAAATAAGCTTTCCCCCCCCCCCCCCTCCCAATACAACGACCACTTTATGTGCGGATTAAACAAACAGCTTTAGAGAGATGCTGTACGCAGATTTCGTGACCTTTGGACATAGCTAAGCTAACTGTTTACCCACATTTCCAGTGTTAGTGCTAACTAACTGGGTGCTGGTGCTGGCTTTTGGCAAGAAAGCAGATGAGCTTATTGCACAAAATGCGTAACTTTTCCTTTAATATCTTTATGTCAAGCTCTGTACACAGCCGGTGCTTCAAACACTTGCGTATTCTGATCGTGTTGTGGCAGAGAGTTAGTACAGTAGCTTTTAAAAGTCTTGCAGGGTCTCTGCAGTTGAATCAATACACTGCCTGCATCTTCATCAATCTCCTGCTTCCTTCATTTACATGCAGTTAGTGGCATCTGTATCCATCGCTGAGGGGCATCTTATCAATTCAAGCTCTCTCTTATATCATAACAGTTCATGGAAATGTGCTCCGCAAATATGAAAATGCTCCTTCTGCAGCCAAGAGAATATTGCAAAGACATTTTGTCCCCGCAGCTCTTCATTTTGATGCAAATGTGAGGCAGCCCTGCAGGTTCGAACGGAGGGGGGAAGGGGGACTGGGGGAGATGCAACTGAGGGATTTCTTTGTGAGGCCAAACTCAAATCCCAAATGTTCTCAGGGCTGAAAACAAAAACAGCATGGGTGCTGCACTGGCCACGTTGGCCCCTTCAATAGATGCACCTTCTGGCACACAAAAGCACTGAGGGCTCCCTCGCCTCACCGTGCCTCCTGGACATTCCCCCTCCTCGTGTTGGTGAGAGTACACTGACAACAACTTCAGCCATCATGGATCCAGTGCCGATGAAGTCACTGGTTGCATTATAAGACTTCTCGGTGACTGAGTGATGAAGGGAATCGCCCTGAAGTGACGCCCAGTGGGAGCTCTCTGGCTGGCTCCTCCGTCTGTATGAAGCCAGTGTACATGGTGGCATGTGGCTGGGATTAGGAAATTTCACTGTGGATTAAAATCTTTCCAGCGCCTCCATGGCCACTCGCTAAAAGAAAGGAGTTGAGCGGAGCACTCTGGGCCCATGGTCTCTCTGAGCAGGTACGTTCAACTAAACTTTTATCTGTTTCTTTCTACAGAACTGAGGGTGTTGAATCATTTCCTTATAAAACTTTGAGTTTTGAGACGTCTTTAAAGTTTTCATTTCTCTAACAACCAAAATGAGTCTAACACCTAACACATACAGGAATTTTTTCACTCATGAATTATAGCTGTTAACATTTTTATAACTTATTACAGAGTTTAAACATGATAATAAACTGTCTGTAGTTCTCCTACTGTGGTCTCCAGCAGAATGTTCAATAGTGGCTTTGACAGTTACGTAATACAAAGAGCCAAAGGAATCCAGAACTGTACTTATTTAAACCCTTATTAAAGCTTTATAACAACAGCAAAAACAGTTTTTATTGTTTGTCCAACACCAAATGTTGTTCAACTATCAAAATATGTATGTAATAAGGAGTAATTTAGAATAAAAAATACTTTGTGTGGTCATAAACTGTTTGACAGTAGACAACAAATATAGAAAATTATTCTTCTTATTCTTAATGTCTTAAAGCTTCCAAAAATAAGTTTCTCGAATTTAAATCTTGAGTCTGTTATGTAATGGTCTGAGGCAGGGGTAGGCAACCTGCAGCTCTGGAGCCACATGTGGCTCTTTAGCCCCACTCCAGTGGCTCCCTTTGGCTTTAACAAATAAAAAAAACAATAATTTAGAAATAAATAACAGTTATGTTTTTAACATTTTAATTTTCATTTATCAGTTCTGTAGGCTTAAAGTAATTCTGGCATTCTCCAACTGTAAAAATGTGTAGCCTTTACACTGAATTAATATTAATATTAATATTTCCGCAACTAAAATATGCGTCAATCGACTTCAGCTCGGCGCCTTTTCATCTACATTTTGCCAAATCTCCATAGCAGTAGCTACAGTAGTCTTGAGATTCCCTAGCTTGGGTAGCTACGGATTCCAAATCCAAAAAAGAAAAAGTTTTTGGAAGAAAGTTTAATTGACCCTTTGCTAAGTCCCGCCCCCAGACGCAGACTGGCCAATCATAACGTGGCATCGGGCTGGTTCAGACCAGGGTCAGGCAACAACACAGCTGTGCTCCATTGACTCCAATGCAGTCGTTTCAGATTTCCTTCATTTTCAGGCTGCTTTTGTGGATTTGGAGCTAAATGTTGTGTCTGGGGCACGTCGTGTATTAATGATATTCGTTACCTGGAGAGGTTGGAAAAAGATATACGTTTCTTCCCTGTTCCAAAACCAAAATCAAATCCTGAAAAGTGTAGGGTTACCTAGCTAGCTACTGAAGATATAGCCTACTGAATGTATACACATGCTGCTTTTGCTTTTTAATGATTATAACAGTGAAACAAAGGCCGACCCTGCTGTACAGGAACCAGTGAAGGGAAGCAGGGAAACTTTGCTGATTGTTCAACCAGCTGTGTTATTGCATTGTGCACAGATGAACATTGTTTGACTTTCCCCGGAGATCCCTGCCCGTCTAGCAGCAGAGGTCCAGGTGCTGGCAGCGGCACGGTGGCTTGCAAACACCGTTCATCTGCACACACTGTGATGCCACACAGCTGGTTCAATATAAAGTTTCCCTTTATATTCATTGTGTTCTGTGGCGATCGGCAGTGATGTGGTAATTCACTTTTACACTGTGATCTGTAGCCTATAGTTCGGCTTTAGCTTCTAACTATCTTTGTCTTTTTAACCTGTTGTTGCTGCTGAGTCAGTTTGACATCCTGGATATATCCTTCAAACACAGACTGTAGACCCCTCTGTCTGCTTCTCTCTGGAATCACCGTTTCATTTTTCCAAAAATACGATAATATTTCTTCGGGGAGTGCAGTTAGTTACAGTGTGGGCTCCATGCTGACTGCGACAGCTTGTTGGACCATCACAAAGGGGTGGAGCTTAGTGAAAGATCAATTGTGTGTGAAGAGATTTGTTTGCTTTTGATACAAAAAAAGCTGCCTTGCCTAAATCTTTAAATCAGGTTGTAATATATTTTATTTGTATAACACTCAGTGATTTCCTAAAAAGTTAGTAGTTTAGTAGTTTTTAGCAAACACAGCTCAACCAGGAGGAAATAGTGCTTTTTTGAGGGACTATTTTCTGCTGCAAATTAATACAAATGTGGTGCTCTGCTGTGTATTGGACGCTGAATTTGTTTTAGACGTTTTATGAACGAGCTCTGTGGCACAAAGAAAAAGGATATATCAGGCTTTGGATTCACAAACAGTACTTGTTAGAAATTGTTGGTTTTGTTCTTTTTTGATTTTTGACATTAAGAAAAATACAGAACATCATGGTCGTCCTTTAAAGTAAGTAGAAACACAAATTGTCAGGGCAACAGCAAAGAAACTAGTCCCACTTAGCTGTGGTCGTTAAAGTAAATAGATCTGAATGCTGAAATAATAATTCAATATGTGAAAATATTCATCCCAGAATGTCAAATACTGCTGCTTTCTCACAATCCTCAATGTGTGCACTAACCTTTCGTTTGCTCTGTAAAGCTCCAGGATGTTCCAGGTGCTCCAGGGTCACATGCAGCCAGCTGGACACCGAAGCCGCAAATCTCGCCTGGTCACCAAAGACGGGCACTGCAACATCGAGTTTGGCAACATTGAATACAGCAACCACTTTGCTTACCTGGTGGACTTCTGGAACACGTTTGTGGAGATCCGCTGGCGCTTTGTCCTCCTCCTGTTTGTGGCTTCGTTCACAGGTAGCTGGTTCATTTTCAGCCTGCTGTGGTACTGGATCGCAAAGAGCAACGGGGATCTGACGGGGCAGAACCGCACAGATGGACATGTTCAGTGTATAGACAATGTTAACGGACTCACAACGGCATTCCTCTACTCCCTGGAGACCCAGACCACCATTGGGTATGGAGGCAGGGCGCTGACTGGACACTGTGCCGGCACTGTGGCTCTAATTATCATTCAGTCGCTAATCGGTGTCTTCATCAATTGTTTCATGTGTGGCGTCATCTTGGCCAAGATCTCCTTACCTAAAAAAAGGGCAAAGACTGTCACCTTCAGCGACACAGCTGTCATCTGCTTGAAGAAAGGAAGTCTGTGTCTCCTGATCAGAGTGGCCAACCTTCGAAAGACCTTATTAATCGGCAGCCAGATCTATGGCAAGCTGCTGAAGACAACAACCACACCAGACGGAGACACCATCATTCTGGACCAGGTGGACATTGACTTTACGGTCGATGCCGGCAAGGATAACTTGTTTTTTGTTTGCCCTTTGACCCTCTACCACATGATTAACAGATCTAGCCCGTTCTACGAGATGTCAGCAGACTCTCTTCCCCACCAGGACTTTGAGTTGGTGGTCTTTTTGGACGGGACAGCCGAGTCCACCAGCTCCTCCTGTCAGGTCCGAACCTCCTACATCCCACAGGAGATTCAGTGGGGATACAGTTTCCTGCCCATCATCTCCCGCACTAAGACGGGGAGGTACCATGTGGATTTCTCAAACTTTTCCAAAAGTGTCCGGGTCACCACACCACACTGCGTCCACTGCTTCGAGACGGACGCAGATCAGAGAAACCACAACAGCCACAATCAAGAAAACCACAACAACCAGCAGAAGATGGGGATCGACAACTTGGGGTTTCAGGTGATCGACATTCACGACTCTGTGGACATCACTAAAATGTGAGCAGTTAGGAGCTTGGGTAATAAAGCGTGAAAAGTCACTTACTTTCAAGCAAAGTTAGACTTTCTTGTCGAGGAGTGATCAGTGAAGAAATATTTGCTTCCTCCACTGAACATTTGAATTAATCTTCGACTTTTCTTTTGCCTCTAACAGCAGAAACATTCAAAGTGTGGATAAAAATTCAGACATGAGCAAGAGTTAAGCTCTTTGCTCAGCAGCTCATTACAATCAAAGCACCTTTGGGACTTGTGACTTTGTCTAGGTAATGTGTGGAAGAGGGGAAAAAGAGGGATTGAAGTTTTGACGCATGGAAAATGAAAGGGGTAAAATACTGGATGGCACAGTGGGTACTTCTTGAGGAGATTAGGGCCTGAGCCTGTTATAATGAAAAACTGTGTGCCATAAAGACTGTGCAAGGAAATAAAAAGTAGGACAGGCCTTGTGAGTTTTCTCATAATTCTTACTGAAAGACAAACTGTATGTTGTTTCTTGTCATGTTGAAACATCTTGTATGCCTTGATAATTAGGAATCTGTGGACATAGCTGCTAAACGAGATGATTTAATTATGACCAGTCTACATTTTGTAGATCATACTGTCTTAACACTGAAACTTCTTCTCAGGGAAAGTAACATCCTTTGTAGGAATAAACCTTTTTTTCACAATTCATTGACTTCTTGTTCATTCTTCATTTCTTTCTGCCATTTTCCTCATTGAATTTTCAAGAATATCAGAATTATGACTGACAGTGGTTAAATATGACAGTACATTTTCTCAAGTGCTGAACTTGAGTACAAATTTGAGGTACTCCTTGAGTGTGGTATTTCAACCCAGTTGCCAGAATATATGTTGGTATTGTACATTTCTGCAAACAGCTATCATACATTTGCACCTTATTACTTATTTATCTTATAGTCACACTGTGCCAAGTATAGATTTTTTTTTTAATTATATAAATTGGAATAGAAAAGAAAGTTTTTGTCACTATAGTAAAAATAATGAGATTACAGGTGCTTTTAAAAAACAGATAAAACAAGATAACCAGCTAAAACATGGCATTCACAGCTAGCTATAACAGCAAATGATATGATGAATAAAAACAATAAAAGATAAATGAATGTACAAATAATATCAATATTACAAATACTAATTAAACAGTAGGTAGCCTCCTAGAATAATATGATTGCTTTTTCATTCAGCCCACTAGAGACATTTTACTGCTGTTGGAAAAAGAACAAAAGGGGGTGTGATAAACAGACCAAAACTTTTTCTGACTAGATAAAACAGATGTTGACAAAGTTTTCCTCTAGGGACATAATTTACAGTTGGAAAAAGGTAAATAATATATCGTAATACATTTTATTGCAATACTCAGTATATTGCAACATATTTACAATTGCAATAATATTGTATTGTGACTTAATGGCGCGTTCCAGGCAACCCGTAACCCCTGTTTTTACAACCTTCTACCTGTGAAAGTGCACTGGAACGGCAGTCAAACCCATAACTTACCACCTGTGAACTCGTACCAGATTGATGTACTCCCAGTTACGCTCTCTGACGTCTCACAGCCCTCTAAACAACAATGGCAGCCCCCATGGAAATGGTGCTGATGCAGGTGATATCTTGTCTGGAAATCCAAACCCAAATCCAGAAAGATTTAGGGTCTGGCCATGAGTAATGAAAATGGCCCAACTCGAGGGGCGGCACCAAGCATGCATTTGTAAATATCACTGCACACAATTGGATAACACTACGACCAATCAGAAGAATACACGGGGTGACGTATACGCTTAGCTACCAGCAGAGCTAACTGGTAGATTAGACTCTTGCTATATCCGGTCCGCAAAACAGTTAAAATGTCCTTCTTGCAAAGGAAAGACTCGAGCGCTGTCTTCAGTTCCTCTTTTAGGGAAAAAGCCAAGTCTAATTCGTTCATTGTAGCGGCCAGAGCCGTTTCAAACAACTGGTGTTCATCCGTAGCCATCTCGCAATGTTTACTGACTGATTCTGCACTTCATCGTTGCAGCGCTGTCGTCATCAGTTTAGCTCGCCTCTGGCCCGCCTATATCAGATACACTGATGTGATTGGTGCAGCTCAGTTTCATGGGCATAGGTAATGAGCATCATTACTGATTGCCAGAGTGACTCGCTGAGCAAATTCAAATTGTGCTCTTGCGAGAACTCTGGATTTCCAGGGTAGGTGATACCCGGTGAGAAATAGACAAAAAATAACTTGCTATTGTTAACGCATTATTGGCAGTCGCTCTAACAGCTAGTTTCCAGTGCAAGAATAATAAATTAATACAAAATACGTTTCCAAACACACAGATAACATAAAATAAAAAGTATAATAGCATCTGTGACCTTATGCCTTTGGCAATCCACCTTATTTTCAAACACGGAAGTAAATAGTGATCAACTTCCGTTTTTTTGTGCGTGACTTCCGGTCAGACGCTTTCCCTCATGCTTTCCCTTACCGGAGCTAACGGTGCAAGCTAATTTTTTTTCAGTTTTCAGTTGTTTATGTTAGTCAATCAGTTAGTTAGTTAGTTAGTCTGTGTATTTTGTATAGATAACTGTGCCCACGTTTCCGTTATAACGGAAATTTATTCCCTCTAAACGCGAATAAATCGCATGTCAATCATAAACTATGAACCAAAAAAGCACAATCTATCAGACAAACTATGAGACAAACTGCTTGATCCCCCTCTCCAGCGTACCAGCAGTGAACCTGCAGAACCGAAGCAGTGAAAAAACACACCGGGCTAAGCCTCTCTACCTGAGCAGCTGAAGCTGCGGCTCGCACCCTCGTCACACAGACGGTGCTTCTGCATGCCAGCCAAACATGTGCGCAACTGTGAGAAATAAATATGTGAGGTGTACGCTGCTTTTCTATCCTTTTTCCCTTTTCTTTCTTTCTCTCTGTCAGCAACATACACTCCTAACACAGGACAGGTTGTTTTAATTTGACTGAGTTGATCATTAAGCCATAGTGATGCGTGGATCGGCTCTGATAGCACCTGAATCAGCATGTACGCATCAACCATCCAGCCGTTACAACATGCTTGAGCTAGCAAAGCAGTTTTGTGTCGCTATGTGTGGTATTTATTCAGTTTTGGGAAATCACGATGTCTAGAAAGCATCAGTGGCTGCAGCTGACAGGGACATCTAACGTTAACACTAGCAGCAAAGCTAACATCAGGATCGTCATCCGTTAAAAGCCTCCCGTTATCGGATACGACATGAAACTACTCCAGTTAGCTCAATCATGTTGTAACTAAGACATCCGCTGGAGAAAATATTTTTTTCACGGGTCACTTTGTGAGTTTAGTGAGTTATACAGACACGGCTAACGGCTAACAGCTAACGGTTAGCCCAGCTAATCTACGATAACCATGTTATTAATTACACACAGAGAAAATACTAATGTTTGTTCAGTCATTGTGTTTATAGAGTTTACAAACACCAGATTAGTCTAAACGGTGATATAGTGACGTGAAAAATGTGATATATACATATATTTATAGCTAAACTCAGCAAGGTAAACAACAAGGCGATTCCCATTGACACAGTGGTAAGAGTGCTGGACCGGAAGTGTCGCACAAAAAAACGGAAGCTGGCTGCATTCTGTTTTGCCTCCGTGTTTCCGTGAAAAATAAGGTGGATAGAAGTGATCGTAAACAAACATAAACTCTGCATGGTCCGCCATGTTGGTTTGACAGTTTGGCGTGACCCGCCTGGAACGCTATTAAGTCGTGAGTCGTAACTTTAAGTGGTGACTTACAGGCTCAGAAACCTTGAAGGCAGCATAAATATCTTGATAATATCGTACCATGGATCCTACAGTGATCCTCATCCCCTATTACGAAAAGATCATGTTTTTTTGCTGAAAACACAGCAATGACTCGTTTAATTACAACCACTTTTGTTGTAAGTTGGTAAACAAAGATGGACGACGTGTTGCCACTTACCCCCGCTGGGCAGAAGTGAAGCTAAGATATCCCGGATACAGCCGCCGCCATTTTGTTCTCACTCGGAGTCAAACCCTGCGCAGTAACGATCTCCGCTGTGTTAAATTTCCCGCCCATACACCTGTCCGACCAATCATGAGCAGCGCCACTGAATGCGAGCCCACCGATTGGATCACACAGTTGTCAATCATTTTTGTAAAACCCCCGTTTTGTAGCATAAATTAATTAAAGCCGAAGCCGAATTTATTAGAGAAACAAACACTTGAACAAACAGCAGCGTGATGAAACCTTTAAAAATGTATTAAATGTGTACTTTGAGTTTTTAGTTTGGCTCATGTCACATCCACTAACATGGAGAGGGCGGGGTTTATGACCTATGTTCAGCCAGCCACCAGGGGTGATCCAGATGCCATGTCCTCATCTTTATTTATTTATTGACAACCACAAAGATGTTTTACTCACATGAATATCTTTCACAGAGACAAAATTGGGGGAAATAAACAACTCCAAGGTTTCCTTGATTTTCCACAAGCAACTTGTACTGTCCACCACTGTCACCATCTCTTCTATTTCATGGTCTACCTGTAAACATTAAAGCTGCCCAACATTTTTGGCATGTTAACAGTTAGATAAATCAATCAAACAAACAAAGCTGTGCAGCTAAAGTAGAATGAAAACAAGCAGAGCAAAGTAAAGGAAGGCAGCACTCACAGCCACAACACATAGTATGGACTGAATCATGGTGATAGGAAACCAAATCAATCACAACCAAGAGTAGCTGTGTCATCCATCTTTATACAGTCTATGGTTGGTCTCAAATGGTCTGTAGATTGGCAGGTGTTTCGCCCAGGTGTCACGCCACCCACCATCCCCTCCAACTCCTGATGACAGTCAGCAGGTGTACTGCATCACTTAAGAAATGTTGATATTACATATGAACCATGCGAATGTAACGCATCTGTGGTTTACAGATATGTACAACATTTTCTTCTGGTGACTGTGCTGGACTTGGGACTTGACTCAGGACTTGAGTGCAAAGACTTACTTTTGATTTCCAGAACAGTGACTTGGTTCCATCTCTGGTTCATTCCAAATAAAAGTATTTCCATTAATTATTTCTGGTTTCCTCTAGTGTTTTATGATTGTAAACTAAATATATTTTTGGGTCACTTTGGGCTTTGAGAAGTTTAATTTCTTACATTTTATAAACCAAACAATTATTCAGTGAATTGAGAAAGTAATCCACAGATTAACCGATAATGAAAATTGTTGGCAGTTGCAGCCCAAAGATAAAGCCATTAAAATGAGCTTTGACCAACAACATTTAAAATTCTTCTTAATAATCTACGGTACTGACACACCAAGCTGATGGTCAGCCATCGGTCATGTCATGTCGGGCCACTGCTGTGTGTTCTTCACCCTAGTTTTTGTGCAGTCTCCTGCACCGTTGGCACTAGTTGGCTCTTGTCGACCCCTGTCAGCTTTTTTTGTCGGACAGGCATCAGAGACAGTGGTGAGAAAAATCACTGTGATTGGCAGCTCAGCTCAGTGCACAAGAAGAGAAACGGAAGTGAGGAAAGTAAACAAAAGTCTAAAGCCAAGAGGGTGCAAGACCAAAACAAACTTATGTTATGTAAGAATATTTTTCAGCCATTGAGCTCCTAAGCAGTTGTTGTTGCTCTCTAGTGTAC